TGCTTAGGTCCAGCTCCCGGAGCTCTCCAAGGCCGCAGAAGAGCGGGGGCTGCAAGTAGGCCAGCTTGTTGCCCGCCAGCACCAGCTCGTGCAAGTTGGCCAGGCCCTGGAATGTGGTGTCGGGAAGCACAGCCAGGCTGTTCCAGCCAAGGTTGAGGTCCCAGAGGTTGGCCAGGCCCTGGAAGAGACCCTCGTCTACCCTGCTGAGGAGGTTGTTGTTGAGGCCAAGTGAAGCCAGGCCCGGTGTGTGCAGGAAGGTACGAGGCGCCAGGCTACGCAGCTGGTTTCGTTCCAGGTGTAGGTGGTACAGGTTCTGCAGGCCCAGCAGTGCCTTTGGCTCCAGATTGGCCAGCCCACTTCCCTGCAGGTTGAGGAAGCCCAGGCCAGAGAGGTTCTGAAAGGCCGCCTCGGGAATGGAGGAGACGTTGTTGCCATCCAGCCACAGTGCCTTGGCACCTTCTGGGATGCCATCAGGTAGCTGAGTGAGGTTCCGGGAGCTACAGAAGACGCTTAGTTCGTCCGTGTAGTCGTCATGGCCACAGGTGCAGACGGCTGGGCACTGCAGGCCCTCGGCGTCCCCTGGCACTCCAGGCTCTACTTTCTCCAGGCCACAGGGGCCCAGTGCCCAGGAGACTAGCAGCACCGCCAGGGCCAGGCCTCCTGCAGAGAGAGGGGCTCAGGGAGAGGTGGCACTGAGGGGCCCAGGATGAGCCCTGGGGTAAGCAAGACACGGAAATTTACAGGCTTTAGACCGCACATGTAGGCCACCATGTGACTTAGCATCCAGACCACAGCACTCAACCATAAAAAGAGGTGCTGCTAATTGGACTAGAGAAAGATGTGAGCTGAGATGTGCTGTCACCCCACTTAAATCAGGAGTGGAAGGCAGGTCAACTTGAATGTTCCCCAGCTCAAAACTAACAGGAGTGATGAGGTGGCAGTGCCTGTTACAGAGAAAACAGGGCTGGGCACCTGGTGATTAGGCCATGTGTCCATCTGTATCCCCAAGGGGAACACTTGAGCTGGGCCAGGCTACCAGGTAGGCATGGAGAAAGGTGTGAGCAAGAATATTCTGGAGTGGGCCTGGGTGGGTATGTACTTGTTGCTCTTAGGGGCTGGACAGTGAACTAGGCATGTGCGGCCTGCACCCAGGGACTTGGCCCAGCACCGGTGTGGGGAGAGGAACAGGGTGCAGGCCTCAGTGGCAGACAGGGACCCTACGTCAACACTCAACTCACCAGGGTCAGGTTGTATCAAGGGTGCCGGGCTCCCTAGCAACAATGCCCCAGAATCTCTGCTAGGCACTGGGCTTCCCCCTGAATCGGCCCATCTCTGCCTTCAGAGAGCTTGAGATCTTGGGGTGGGGCAGAGACACCACTGGAGGGTGTCCCGCCCCCAGCTGGATGGAGCTAGACCCTGAGACAGGACAAGAGAACAGTGGTTTGGGCTCCAAGTGGCTGGGAGGGCAGCAGGCCCCAGCCCAGCAGAGGGTTCAAGGCAAGGTGCCTGGGTTGGGGTTTAAGGAAATACCCACCCTGCCTCAGGCCACAGTCCAAGGCCCTTGGGCAAGAGGAGGAGACCCTCTGGGGTCTGGCACAGCTGCACCCCTCCCCAACACCCCTACAGCACCATTTCTCCCCATTGGCTACCCAAGGCTTTGGCTTACCCAGAGCTGAGCCCTCCCTGGGGGTTGCCCTTGCCCCAGCGGGTTCGGGGGCATGGGGAGCCTCACCTTTCCTCAGGGCCATCCTGCATGCAGAGCAGGCCTCAGGCAGGCAGGAGCTTCGTGTCTGCTGGGGGCTGGCTGTTCCTGCCTCTGGATTTCCCCACCTCCAGGACAGCCAGCGCCCTGTCACCAGCCAACCCAGCCCTGCTGGCCCTGGGTTCCGTTAACCCCCTCCTGTCAGGCAGCCAGGTGACTGGGGTGTAGACTGCACAGGGGAGAGGCTGAGGGGGCTGCTTCCACCCTGAAGTCACTTTCAGGATCCAAGTTGGGCTATGACACAGCACCAGGGGCCCACAGGGGCCCACCTTGCACCACTCCCACCCCTGTGGTCTGCAGGCCTCCTGCCCATGGGTGGGCCTCCTTGGGCAGCTCGTGGGGTCCCCCCAACTAGCAGATGGCCATGTGGGGGTTAAGTGGGAGCCACCTCATTTCCCAATGGGCCTGCGCATCTGCCCTGGCATGCTGACCAGCCCCTTCCCTTCCCCCTCCCCATTTCCTAATAGCCTGGGTGGGGTTGCCTGGCCCAGCCTTGGCTTCTCCTGTGACCTCAGGGTCAGCTGGTGTCTGGCCACTGCCCCTCCCCCAGCCTCTCTTCTAGGAACGCCTGGCAGGGCCCAGCCACCTCCTTTATGCTTTCAACGGTCTTTGCTCTCTCTGGAAGATAGTGAGGAGCAGCCTGGCCTCTGGACCAAACTTCGTCTACTGGGGGCTCCATATTGTCCTGCAAGGCTTCTGTGGGAATATGGCCACCCCGTTCTGTACATGGGCCGCTGGGACATGTGCCCAGTACCTGGCAGGAGGTCAGTCCCAGGTCAGGAGGTGGAAGTAGGTGATGGATGGCCAGGCTGCTCCAGCTGAGGGGAGCCCCAC